GAGCTGCTCTCGACCAACGCCGAAAAGCCTTTCGATCAACAGCTGGCCATTGTCCATTATCGAACCGATTGTGAACGAACTTTTTTTTCAACCGATAACGGGCTGAAAACCTTGTTACGTGATTAACGAAGAGGAATGGAGCACCGATAAATGGTGAATTTAACTTACTACTGGCTGTTCAACTTATTTACGAAATGATATCAAATTTATTTTTATTATATCAAAATTACTATATTTTGTATCGACAAATTTTCGATACAAATTGTTCTACTTTCACCGACGATAATTCCGTGAAAAATTATCGTGAAATAATCATTTTTCTCTTAAATTAAAGCCTGAAATCTCTACTTTACGACGCTACTTCACAATTTTAAGTTTCACGCACCATCGCCACAATAAATCTTTAAATCCGAGACGATGTTTGTCGTATTGAAAATTGGCCAAGTTTGACGAAATGCGCGTACTTTGCAAAATTTCTTTCGAAGATGCCGTTTGCACTCGAACAAATCACTTTAATTAAAAGAAAAAAAACTCGGCTGCGATCTTTCTTCGCAATGTTACAGCACTTCGAAGTAAACCTTGCACTTTTGGCACGAAATCGGAGCTGGCACTTTCGACACAAGATCGGTGCACAGGGTGCGTCGAACTTCAAATCCACAAACATTATCTTCAAGTAGAGGTTTGAAGCTTCGATTTAAAAGTAAGGCCGCATCATCGTACGATGGTTTTTTGCGGAGTTATCATCGGCCGAAGTTGGCCAATTTGTATCCAAAATTTGTCTTAGTTGTAATTCGTTCGAGCAGCGCTGCATGGAATTTCGGTCGCGGTATCCAGATCGCTCGGGAAGCCCGACTAGTTCAACTACGTTTTACTCGTACCTTTTACGCGGCCCGACGTTGTTCTCGCTCGAGTTAATACGCTGTCGCATCGACGGTCGGGGGAGCACAATTGATTCTAACGTGGTCGCCATTGTGGACGCGAAATTTCGACGGGGCAGAAAGAAGCCGCGAACTTTCGAGCATCGCGTTCGCGGACGCACAAAACGAGGAATTGTTGAACAGTTTGAGGCGTGCCAAATGTTTTCGTAAATTACAGCAAGTTTTAACGAGCGCTGCGTTCCAAAACGTACCGCGGGGGAGGGGGGGGGGGAGCAGAATTCGCGACAATAACACTGCTCTCGAAAAGGGGACGCTAATTGCGAGAAAAAATACGAAGCGTTCGCATTGGAAAAATAAATTCGCGACTAATATTTACAGGAACGCGCTCGCTCTCGGAAAGTAAATAAAAGATATGCTTTACCGGTCTTTCAAAACGGCGACCGGAGGAAGGTATAAATTTTCGGAAATTATGGCGCAGAAAGAGAAGTATGGAGAAACACAAGGAGATGTGAGCAGTTCGATTATTTCGGCTGTTGGTTTTTTGGTCGCTGGGATTCTTGAAAGCAGGTTCGACGTCAGCCGATTACTTGACAATTAACGCGTTATGACGATAATACGAAAACGAAACTATTATACTATGTACATCTACAGTCCGTTGAACGAGTCAAGTTGTTAGCTGAAAACAAATGCGCGTGACGACCTGTTAAATGGGACAGAGTTCGATTCACCGTCTTCGGATAGAGATCCCATTACCGGTAACGAGATATCCTGCGTTTGAAACGTAGCTCCAATTCGTACTAATTAATCTCGAGTTAATATGTTTCGTACTTGAGAACGTCTCCATTCGAAGCGAAGTAGTTCCGTTCCGGTGGACCGTCTTCGAAACCCGGAAAGATCTATTGAAATTGTTAGATCCAGGATCTTCATAGGAGAAAACTACCATGAATGGGATATTATTACCATTATCTCATAAATTTTCATCGAATTAAAGAGATAGAAGCTTTTATGTTTATTATATAAACTAAAAGTTAAATAAATACTTACTATGCTCATACACCTGTATCATACTTAATAAATTATGCTTACGCCTTGAAATTAATGATAGAGCAGGTATAAAATGTTATTTTTTTAAATGTGACAGTCGGTCACATAATTTACGCAAATAGGACGATCATTTCAATACGGAGGGAGTACTTGTTTTGTAACTTTTTTTTTTTATTATTATAATTATGCATAGCTAATCGCACGTAACTTGAAGCCGCTACCAGATACTACGTAATTATGGCAAACAATTAATTTTTGTTCACGCTTAAAAATAATATTTTTCTTTTTTTCTCGTGACGTTGTATGAAGTACTGTTACTTCATTACATCCGATCAGATATTTATTCAATAATGTTTACATATAGCATCGAATGGTCCTTTTTTATCATAGCGATTAAACAAGTTGAAGTTTCAATGTTGTTGCTTTTACGAATAGGACACAGAGAATGTTTACGGATGGGACGCGAATAAATGTTTCTGAGAATAATTTAGTTTACAAAGAAAAAACAGGAAAATAAGAAACAAACCTTGTTGAAGAATCCACAAAATAATAAAAAAGGAGATCACGAAGAAAGTAGCACACTCGAAGAATAGAAGCACAGATTCGTTCAACATTACAGAATCTGATAGGAAAACTATTATCAAACATATAGAAAAAAACTATTATCAAAACATATACAAAAAGCAATGAGGACTGGTATCGATGCAAGATCTGTAGTGAATGGGTAAATGAAACATGCGGCATAAAAGATGCTCTAAACGTTTTTTGCTTATTATATCATTAATTTGTAGGATATTCGTTGAAATAGTTTTTACGATATCTTTATTAAGAAATTTTTGTTAATTTTGTTCATTTCTTTTTATTGAAAGGATTATATTTCTTCTCATAAAATACTAAGATGTGATATTAATCAAAGAAAGATTTATATAATTTGAGATCATTATATGTATAATATTATATGTACTTGGATCGATCAATAAATAAACAGTACGTATAAAATTAATACCAAGATTACTTTATTTTGTTACACTGTTCCATTCGTGAATATGCCATCCTATTCGATACAACGAATTGATGAATAGGAAGAAATGCACTTTTTCAAAAGATTAAAAATAAGACAAGTAAAAACGTAGGAGAAACTCGTTGACGCTATGCATTCTTATAGTAAAATAACTGATCTTTCGAATGTTTCGAACTAGAATTGGACAGGTCGTGTAGTTGTTCCTCGTTATCTTATCCAAAACAAAAGTGTCCCATTCATGATAGTTCTCCCTTACGTGAATTTATAGCTTGCGAAGTCATTGAAAAGAAGAACAATAAAATAGGAAGCTCAATAACGCTTGATACAATTTCAAGCAAGTTTTTATTACTGGGCGAGATAAAATCTTTCACAACGCATCCCCGTCTCCTGAAACTCCCCTATAAAAGTGAGAATTTACATAAACGTCGTCAGTCTACTGATAATATTTAGGTCATCCTAGTTAGGTCGACAGTTATTATATCTGCACTTTGTGTAACCGTCGTGGAAATTTTGTAAAGTCCAGAGCGCCATTAACGACGGCTGAAGCTTTATTTTGCCACTGAGAAGCTTACTCTGCCAACGAAGAGCAATTTTTATCGACCCTATGATTTTTGTAAAAATCAGAATCTACTACAGTTTGCGTGTCCGAGGTAAAAATGTTAATGTAACAAATTCTAAACACTAACATTTCGAACTTGCTCCACGAGAAATAATTATTCACGTTTGACTCTATACGAACTGTAATAAAATATGTCTCACTAGAGAATCGATTGAAATTGATGAAAATAGTTGTTGTATCGTACTTTCAATATCAATGTTTTCCCCTTTGACACCTGATCAACCGGTGTATGCTATTCTAATCGTTTTAACCACTTGCGCTGGAAAGACGTGCCACGCACGTCGTAATGCTTTTGTCACAGAATCGCCAACAACGTGGTATGTACGTCGTCATGCGATTGTCACAGAAACAAACGACGTGCATGGCACGACGGGTGGGATTGTTTGCCAGAGCACAAATTATCATTGCACAGCATAGCGCACAATTGTCAATATTTAACCCATATTCTAAAATGGAAAATAAATTAGTTTAGAAAATATAAATCTTTTTCCGATTTCTGTGACGCCTCCCAGCAAGTTACACTGGACCGTTCTGGTACACGCGTCGGTGAATTTTTTGCCAGCGCAAGTGGTTAATGAATCGAGAAGAACGAAACATTATTCTCAAGCATCTCTGAAATGACTGCTGTTCTACATTTTAAAGACTGATTTTGATTATATTTCAGTTATGTTATCGATTTTCAGAATTGTGCTTTTCAAACAATTGAAAACTGTTCGATGACAATTTTAACCTCCGACTTTCAGAAACGTGCTTTTTATCGTCCGATGGATCGCAATTGTTGCCGAAATATCTCAGAGATCTTTTTCGAGAAACCAGACGCAACGTAAAGGCGCGGTAAAATGATTAATCTGGCAAACAGTTTTCTGCCTTTAAAAATCGAGTGATCACTCAACTGTACGCGCTTCCATTGTGCCCGCATACCGCGATTCTTTGCAAGATACAGTAAACCTCGACGATCTTCGTCCTACGTAAACTTGGACAACATACAATAGCGGCCCAATAGAAGTCGATAATATTCTCATTTCGTTGTCTGTTCAAGGTGTATCTTCCACCGAGCGGTGCAAATTAATGCAATCCCTACAAAACAACGCACAGAGAAACAGGAATTTACATAAAGGTCCTTTGTCTAATTAATCACCGGAGCAATTTGCGTTTCTTCGGGGAAGCTCGCAAAGCGGCAAAAGCAGGCGCATTCGAATAGGATACGCTATACATCCGCGGTGACTGGACTCGTTGACTGGGTTCACGGAACAAAAGCAAATCAAGACGAGATGAAGCAAGTTAAGGCGAGAGAAAGCAAAGCGAGACAAAACAAGACGAAACAAGACAAAACAAGACCAAACAAGAGAAAATATAAGAAATCGAGAGACAAGACAAGAGAAGAGAATAGATGAAAAGAGAGGATTAAAGCGAGAGAGATCCCCATGCGTAAGCTTACTGCACTCAGCCTCGTCTGAGCCGTCCGAGCAGTCCTGGTTGCCGTCGCACATCCATGACAGTGTCACACACTCGCCGTTCCCCGAGTGACAGGTGAACTGTTCCGCCGTGCAATTCTTGATCCCTATAAGATAGATGAGAAAATCGATGATCCGCGATGACTCAATGAACGAGTGGCACCGGTGGGTCGCGTGCCAGGTGCACGCGTTCGGTGGCCTTTTAGTGGCCGAACGGTGGCCGAACGGTGGCCGTTCGGTGGCCCGCAAAACATCGGCGACATTCTCCTCGCGCGGCGCGGTNTTGCGCTGGAAAGACGTGCCACGCACGTCGTAATGCTTTTGTCACAGAATCGCCAACAACGTGGTATGTACGTCGTCATGCGATTGTCACAGAAACAAACGACGTGCATGGCACGACGGGTGGGATTGTTTGCCAGAGCACAAATTATCATTGCACAGCATAGCGCACAATTGTCAATATTTAACCCATATTCTAAAATGGAAAATAAATTAGTTTAGAAAATATAAATCTTTTTCCGATTTCTGTGACGCCTCCCAGCAAGTTACACTGGACCGTTCTGGTACACGCGTCGGTGAATTTTTTGCCAGCGCAAGTGGTTAATGAATCGAGAAGAACGAAACATTATTCTCAAGCATCTCTGAAATGACTGCTGTTCTACATTTTAAAGACTGATTTTGATTATATTTCAGTTATGTTATCGATTTTCAGAATTGTGCTTTTCAAACAATTGAAAACTGTTCGATGACAATTTTAACCTCCGACTTTCAGAAACGTGCTTTTTATCGTCCGATGGATCGCAATTGTTGCCGAAATATCTCAGAGATCTTTTTCGAGAAACCAGACGCAACGTAAAGGCGCGGTAAAATGATTAATCTGGCAAACAGTTTTCTGCCTTTAAAAATCGAGTGATCACTCAACTGTACGCGCTTCCATTGTGCCCGCATACCGCGATTCTTTGCAAGATACAGTAAACCTCGACGATCTTCGTCCTACGTAAACTTGGACAACATACAATAGCGGCCCAATAGAAGTCGATAATATTCTCATTTCGTTGTCTGTTCAAGGTGTATCTTCCACCGAGCGGTGCAAATTAATGCAATCCCTACAAAACAACGCACAGAGAAACAGGAATTTACATAAAGGTCCTTTGTCTAATTAATCACCGGAGCAATTTGCGTTTCTTCGGGGAAGCTCGCAAAGCGGCAAAAGCAGGCGCATTCGAATAGGATACGCTATACATCCGCGGTGACTGGACTCGTTGACTGGGTTCACGGAACAAAAGCAAATCAAGACGAGATGAAGCAAGTTAAGGCGAGAGAAAGCAAAGCGAGACAAAACAAGACGAAACAAGACAAAACAAGACCAAACAAGAGAAAATATAAGAAATCGAGAGACAAGACAAGAGAAGAGAATAGATGAAAAGAGAGGATTAAAGCGAGAGAGATCCCCATGCGTAAGCTTACTGCACTCAGCCTCGTCTGAGCCGTCCGAGCAGTCCTGGTTGCCGTCGCACATCCATGACAGTGTCACACACTCGCCGTTCCCCGAGTGACAGGTGAACTGTTCCGCCGTGCAATTCTTGATCCCTATAAGATAGATGAGAAAATCGATGATCCGCGATGACTCAATGAACGAGTGGCACCGGTGGGTCGCGTGCCAGGTGCACGCGTTCGGTGGCCTTTTAGTGGCCGAACGGTGGCCGAACGGTGGCCGTTCGGTGGCCCGCAAAACATCGGCGACATTCTCCTCGCGCGGCGCGGTCTATTTCCGTCGAGAGCCGTCTCGAGATTCGCGAATTGCATCCCCCAGGGTCAATTGCGCTTCGCCCACGGTTTTTTTATTCCGTCGCGACGGTCTGCACCGCGACCTCCGCGATCTTATAGCCGCGTGGGAATAATTATCGCGTAATAGAAAATCTCCGACGGAGCTCGGACCGTTCTCCACCAGCCTCGCGTTTTATTTTTCAAGCGACGTTTAACGCAGCTGTTCGCGTTGCATATGGAACGGCGCCAAATTTGAATCGGCTTCCAGGACAGGGTGAAACGCGATAATTAAATAAAAACGCGACAGCTCTCTTCAAGTCTCCGTCGAGCTCGGCACGATTTTTATTTTCGTTCGACGTCTTTTGCTTTCTTTTTCTTTTCTTTTTTTTTTGTAAATTAATTGGCTCGTTACAGTTCGCTGCGGTCATTTATTTTTATAGAGTGCGCTCACGTGATTCAACCACAAGTTCGAGTGTTTCTGTTTCGAGGAGACTGCAAATTTTATGCATTTGCGGCGGGAACAGTAGTTGCGGCAGTGCGAGTGTGGGATTGTTTTTATTGATTCGTGTGTGTGTGTGTGTGGTTAGAGTTGTTACGGATAGTATTAATGGTTTGATAATAACGTAACTTTAAATTCGTTGCGTAAATTATTGTATTTTATTTCAGTTTAATTTTTTGTATTTTATTCTATTTTGTTTTATTTTATTTTATTTTCTTGCTTCATTTTATCCTTATTCTATTATCTTATTTTAGTTTATCCATTTCAATTTATTTTCTTACTTTATTTTATCTATTTTACTTTATTTTCTTGCTTTATTTTATATTCATTTCATTTTATATTCTTATTTTATTTTATCCATTTTATTTTATTGCATGGTATGTGATGTATAAGGAGATTAACCACTTGCAATCCGCAAGGAAATCAATAAAGTTCATTGTAATTAGAGCGCGTGAGTGTGAACTATTTTTATCGGCTAAGGTTTCGTGATTGTGATTATTTGTCGATATAGTTTTATAAAACCAAGTGGCTTCTCAATTGCAAAATAAAATAAAAACGCTAATGATATGCTGGAAATGACACCGAAATGAACCGAAAGTTTACCGAGATAATTACGGTTAATGTACATGTAACTGAATATTCTCGGACAGCGTATTTTGATAAAATATGATGTGCACCTTTAAATTTAGCACAACTCAATTACAACTTTTAACCCGCACATGATAATACAATCCTAATAAAACTGCGCAGCGTTATTCGAGACAGAAACGCAGCGGCCGCTGAAACCGCACGACCGTGATTACAGCTTAAAAAACGAAACAACGTAATTTAACACACGCGTGCTCTAACATAGAAACGCGAGTTTATTCGAGCAAATATAGAAAGTCGCGTTTCAAAGCCGCGCTGCCGTAAAAATTTCACGTTCACGTCGGAGCAATTAACGAGATTGATCCATTATCTTGATACAGAGGAGCGTGGGCAGAGTCGCGGTTGGTATTAATTAATTGTGAATTATATATCGGCTCCAATCTAGGAAGCGGTCCAAATTAGGTTGCTTTCCTCCATTCGCTGACCTATTTCTTTATTTTTTTTATATCCGCTTGCTTTATCTGTAAATTGCATGGCTGCCATGGCGCCGTGTCAACAGAATATTCGAAGAATATTGCTTTGCGAACGAGGACCGGCGAATTTTGCAAACATATATGGCATCGAAACGATCTCGTCTTATTCAGAAGAAATCCACCCTTAAATGCATAATTCATCCGAAAGGATTTCAATAGACTGCGGATCTCGTTGTAAATTACCGTAATAATAAAATAAAATACCGTAAAATACCGTTGTAAATAATTAATTAATTAATTCCATAGATTTATCGTCTCTCGTGGTAACAGTACAAGAAGAAGAAGAATACTATAATATGAATTAATAACGTTAACACTGTATCTACCGACCCCATTCTCTGATAGTTAAATACACTGGGTTGTAAAAAAATCGAAAGAATTTATTTTCCGAGATAATTCGAAATAACAGCTGCTCCGAAATTTTTCAACATTCCGCTTGTGTAGAAAAAGATGCAATTTAAAAAGCTCCAAGTCATTCGGACGAATTTGAACAAAAGGATGTTCCGTTTGAAAAGAGAAGCTTGCGTATCGTCTCTCAGCTCGACGAATTTGTTGCGCTCGTGTCAGTAAAAATAACGATCGCGCAAACTAAACAACAACGCTCGGCATTTAAGAGTAAAAACTGCTTTCGCCTTCCGCAAGCCGAGAAGTCGACGAGCAATTTCCCGGAAAAAGCACTTGCAATTTCGCGACTCCGCGAGGCAGTGGGTACACAGCGTCGTCGTTGGAACGACGGCATTTCCAAAGCAGAGCCATAAATCCGGCGAGCATTAATATCGGCGAGTTCCTCCGCCGCGTTTCTCCAAACATTCCGGTCACGCTGATCGATCTAATAACTGTTTTGGAATCGCACTGCAGTCCGGAACTCGCCAGCAATCCGGGATCGTGTACATTACCCGATAATTTGCCGCGGAAAAAAAGAACAGGAAGAGAGAAAAAACGAGTTTGTCGAACTAGGTAGAAGAACGAGCTGTTACTTCGAAGGGAACTGCAAATTGTGTGGATTATTGGTGAGTGAATTATTAACGAGACAAAACCAAAGTACAAAATTGTTTTGAATAGTTCTTAATTGTTTTCAGTTTCATTTATTATTCTTAATAAGTTGTTATCCTTTGCAATAGATTTCAACGGTTTCTAATACTTCGCGATGGTTTTGAATAATTTTTGATGCTCCGTAATAGTTTTTAATGGTTTTTAATATTTCGTAATCACTTTTTGCGTTTTTTTAATAACTATGCAGAAAGTTCGAAGGCGCCACATTTTACCGGATTTCCCGACAGCATAGCTTCATGAACAATGTAACGGGTGCTGATTACTTATTCACCTGTCTATTAATAATTTTTATTTTTTTATAATTATTTATAGTTTTTATAATTATTTTTATTTCTTTATAATTATTTTATTTGCTTATAATTATTTTTATTTATTTACAATCATTTCGTCTAAGACAAGATACCATAAATAAGTTAGCGGATGTATTTTCGGGAGACGTTGAGCGAATAAAATAATTTTGGCCGACTAAACCCGGCAAATGGCCCACTACGCGTCGTCGAAAGAAAAATGGTTCCGCATCGGCGACAAACTTTTCTCCTTCCGATCGCGGATGTCGGGTGGCGATATTTACTTTGCCGGTAATTTATTTTCTTCCGGTGGCCGACACGAAATTCCGTGCCGATGGGAAACGAGCATTTCGCCGGTTAGGGGATGCAATTTGCGACTCTAAGAGGCGAACGACGCGTCCTCTCTAATAATCCGCCGACTGTGTCGGCTGTTTCCGTAGTTCTCTGGCTATGCCACGCCGCGTGTCCTCGGCTCGCATCGCCTCGTATCGCCTCGTATCGCCTCGCCTCGCCCTTGGTCCTTCTCCCAGAAAGCCGTGCATCCTTAGACCGACCTGCAGGACTTTATCGATAACTTACGCTGGCAATTCATCTCGTCCTGCTCGTTCGTGCAGTCGGGCTGATTGTCGCAAAGCCAGCTCCTCGGTATGCACTCCCCTGGGCTGCACTCGAACTCCGATTTGCTGCACGGCCCTGAACCTTTTCACCGCGATCGTTTCGTCATCATTCGTTTCTTTACCGAAAAACCTCGGCACGGTCGCGCGAACGCCAAACCCAGCCCGCTAAGCTAACCGCCCCCACCCATCGATTTCCACCGCCCTAATGCGCCGCTAATGCGAGTCCGCGGTTCTCGTGAACGATTTAACGCGGCGCGACTCGTTTGTCGAGGATTTACACAACTTCAGGCTGAAATGTCGCGAAGTTAACGCTTTTCGTGACAAGTTTAGGTAGAAACGTATAGTCCTCGCGTGTCAAGAAGGCATTAGCTGCCCCACTCCTCGAGCTATCGGTCGCTATTGGCCGAAAACGGTGACGTAGATCGACAGCAGTGCGTCAGTGGGGGGCGATAGCTGCGTAAGTGGGGCAGCTATAAGAGAGGGAATGTAAACACAAAGGTGTTTGTGGTGGTCTTGTCGCGCGAGGACTATATCAGTGTCGTGTCACGCGTTCAGTCGGAACTTTTGTAGCGATCGGTCTCGAGAGTTCACGATATTTGGTTCTCGACGGATTTTTTTCGGTTTTTTTTCTATTACAGAACTTTGTTCTGCGGGAAACGAAGAATATGAGTTATTTGAAAACATTTAGAACGGAACATTGTCTGTCACTCTATTTCGTCATTTAATTACATTTTATTGGAATTAAATAGTGATTCAACTACGTTGTCATTCAATTACATAATTCGAACATTTTAGTCGATTAAACTGTTAGTTATTTTAATCACGAGTGTACCTTAAATACGATGCGAATGAAATACAATATAATTGGAGTATAATGTAATTGAATTATTTTGCAATTATAATTCTTTAAGCAATTCAATTGTAATTCTGTGTTGTAGAGAAAATTGTTGGTAGATTCGACTGCACAAATTTCTTTCGAAAGCACGGTGTTCTTGCGGGATGAAGCATATCTTTCCGTAATGGAAAATGCGATATTCGGATGAAGAATGCTAATTAGGGCTAAAACGTAAAATAAGGTGGTCGATGTAATTGTATTTACAGAAGTTCAACATGCTATTTAGATCCTCAAGATTTCTCATTGTGTCACCTGTGTCATTGTATTTAACTTGCTGAATTTAGACTACGATTTTCTCTTGCGATGGAAAATCCTTTATTAGAATAGAAATTGCTATTTTCGGGTGGAAAA